GGGGGGGGGGGGCAAGACATAACCCGCTCGACGCGTTCTATCCCACAAGTCACCCACCTCCCGCACTTTCCAACCGAGCTGCGTGTGCAAGAGAGACAAGATACCTCTCTCACACTCCATTTCTCTCTCTCACCCGGCCACCCGACCGGCGGCCGGCTGACCCCTCGCGATGTACCAAAGGTCAAACTCCCTGCTGATGTTACACTTTTAGAAATATTGTGTTTTTTGTGCGTGTGATATTCAAAGAATCCCTTTGCTATGTTCGGAGTGTAAAACAGCTCAAGTGATTTTTTTTCGGTGTAGATTCCCTGTTTGTCCAGAAGCAGCGCAGTCAGTCATTGTGCGGCGCCAGTGAGGCGTGGAGCGTCGTAACAATTACAAACGTGTAACCGCCGGCGCGTTGTTACACATTACAGGCGTGTTACAGCAGGGGCGTTGTTACACGTTTGCTTCTTCGCGTCGCTTCCTGACCCCTACAGTACCATAAAAAGACGCTTGAACCGCATAGTTTACGACTCGCAGACGACCTGCAGATTCAGGCCGTTCGAAAGAGAAAGAGAAAGAGAGAGAGAGAGAGAGAGAGAGAGAGAGAGAGAGAGAGAGAGAGAGAGGGGGAGGGAGGGAGAGAGAGAAAGAGAGCCTCGCGGAACCTGGCTTCCTGATGTCTCGCAAAGCTATTGCCTTGCCTACATTTAACCGTCAGTCAATATGACACTATCACTGTTAAAATATTTGTTCGTGAACATTTCCCATAAATTTCGTAAAGTTACGATGTTATATTTCGTAAGTCATATAAGTCTGCACATTGTGTCTGCACAATGATAAAATCAAATTGTAAAATTTTGAACTAAACAACATTGTAAACCAATATTTGTGTTACCGAGGAGGAAATCGTAAAATTATGATTGCATTAGTTTACTGGTGAACTTTGCGAAATTTTCCAAGTTTTCCAGTTTTAAGGTGTCAATATGGGAATAACGGTTTTAAACTGTTAAGTACAGTTTAAATTAACTGTTAAAATTCATGTTAACCCATAAGGATGGAGCGCAGTTTTTCACAATTTTTGACCGTTATTCTATTGGACAGATTTAAACTGTTGTTAAATGTTGGCTGTCTTTTGACAGCTGTTCAGTCCATATTGACGCTGTAGCGCCCGGTCAGGTTGCGCCATTTTATTGTTCTGCCGTAAGTGCAGGCGGCACGCCCGGCACGCGACAAGCAGCGTGAGGAATCGCTTGGCAAACGAATTATATTTGAGGCTGTTTGAGGCTGTTTCGGTGCCGCGTCTGCCGCAGATGGGATTGCGCGCCTTTAGCCCGGCGGAGGAGCGCTGTCGTCACGCGGAGGTCGCTCACGAATATTGACACAAGCGGCGGGGCGGGGCGGGGCGGGGCTAGGGGACGCGGTGTCGTATCGTGTCATCCATCGGAAAAGAGTTGACTGGTATAGTAGCGCCAACTCAACTCTCGCCACTTGGTCTTCCGCATACCCTTCTTCTTCCCCACAAATCTGGACACAAGCTGCCGGAACCCTTCCCTTCAGTTAAAAAAAAAAAAAAATACAACAAAAAGTCAAAGGTGCTAACGGATACCTTTCTATGGGGTAATATATAACGGATAAGGGTGCTAAAGCACGGAAGGGCGCTAAAGGAGGTTTTATTATTGTGCCTTTTTTATTTTGCCGGTTTTGGCACACGGGTGTTAGTTTAGTGCCCTTACGAAAGCACTACTGACAAAGGCACTAATTTTTAGCATCGTGCATCTCTTGTGGGTTTATAGAGTCACTAAACTGTAAATCTCTTTAGCCCCCCCCCCCCCAATGGAAAGGCACGACTTAGCACCTTTGTTTTTCCATTTCAACCGCATCTCGCCGTGAGCGAAACGGCGCGTGTGTGTGAGAGAGAAAGAGGGAGG